ATTAGAGCATTAGAAGTGAGGAAAAAACTAACATGCAGTAATGCAATAAAATAACTTTATTAATATGAACTTAAATATTGTCCGATCTTGTGATATCCTGATATGTTTGGATAACATTGTGATATTGAATTTAATATAAAATAAAAAAACATGGTATATGGGCCCTTTAAAGTGTGCAGTTTGTCAGCACATTGTGTTTTTATAAATCATTTGTACGCTAATGCTGAGAACTTACATTAAGAACAAATTAGCATATAGGATATAAATGAGGCCTCATTAATGAATTTATTAATTAGAATATCTAATACATAGTTCTTGCGTACTGTTGCTGTTTATAGAATTTGAGCATGCTAACTGCTGTTTACACTGTCTCAAAATATCATAATGAATGACCTGACAGAAATGGTCCAGAATGACTTAAAATAAAACCTTGTTAAATTGACTTACATTGATAGTTGATGTTTTTCCTTTTATGTAATGTTACTTTTTTAGAATTTTTTTGTTATTGGTTTTGTATGATGATATACAGTATTTTCCATGATGTTACCTTTTTATTTTAGTGGTTTTACTAACAATAGTAGTGGGTAGTTCCTAGTAGTCTGTAGCAGTGTGTATAGCTATCTCAGTCTGACGTGCAGTAACATGAACCACCTTTGTCTACAATTACTCTCATCAGCTATTACAACTATGACGTTTTTCCCATGTGTTGAAATCCTTCTACATACCAAATCAGACAGTCTTTCGATTGACTGTTATTGTGAAGTGGGCAGATTTTTGTTAAATTGTCTTAGTTTATACTTGACAGTTCTTCTTCTTTGGTGTGGCCTACTCAGCAACACATGGCCTAACTCGGTGTTGAGTTGAAGTTACACTACACAACCCAGTATCCCTTTAATGGCCTGTGTGCTGTATACCTTTACGCCAGGAGCACGCTCCATTCTGAATTACCTGCCACTGATCAGTCAGGGGCCATTATGATTAAGTGAATGCCAGCAGTTGCCACGCTCTATTTGCACAGATAGACCGTGTATCTGCAGTAACAGATACCGTCAGTAGTGTGCTTTGTAGCTTTGTCTGTAAACCTCCTCACTGATTAGGCAGACAGCTGCTTTTGTGCTTTTGTGTAAGGCCTCTGCTCCTCCAGACTCGAGGCTGGCTGCGTTCCGCTGGCCTGGAGAAGCTCAGACAGGTTATTGTCAAACAGGCTTTTAAGTTAAGCAGGCGCATATGAATACCCCAACCGCTCGCTGCCCCTTGAGAGGTGTAACAGAGAAGGCAGATGAAGCGGGAGATAGTCACTGAATACAGCAGGAGCCCCGCGCAATGTGCCAGGCCGTGTCTGGTGCAAACTAACACCCGCTGTGTTTGAGGTGCACTCGTAGACGAGCGGTGCATTAAATCAGCCCAGGGGCATTCTCACACGCAACCAGCGTGCCTCCTCCTACAGCCCAACAACTGCTGAAACTTTAATGCTGCTCCCCACTCTCCTTCAATGAATGCTGTACATGTTGCAGCCCTGCAGAGACTGCACTGAAAGCGGGTTAGCAGCGTGCAAAATAAAAGTTATAAAGTTATGTATTGAAGGGCTTGCATCATATGTTGGGAGGTGAGACTTAGGCCTGTTTCACATATACTAAATCTGCGTGACATGAGCGTGTTGAATTGAAGAATTTGCACCGAGCTTTTATTTGCTTTTCTGCATCATTTTCATTCATTTTCATGTTTTTTTCATATTTGTGTTTTGACAGCGAACATTTTTCTAAATGCTGCGCCGCTTCAGTGTCTGGGATGCCCTGCTGCGCTTCTGAAAGCTCTGACCTGTTAACATGAGGGCCGAAACGAAAAGCAACAGGTTCCATGTCACTCATACTATGCCTAGATAGCATATGTGGCTTTAAAGAGCATTTTTATATTTGTAGCTAGGTTCACTTGGTACTGATTAATGCAGAAAAAGACCTATTACTGCACTGTTGCATTTTAGTTCTGGTTTGCTTAGTATTCATACTGACATATTTTTCAGTGAACCAAAAGATTGTGTGAACAGACCAATGCTGACATTTTGCTAGGAGATGCAGAAATAAAATTAGAGCTAGAAAGCGTGAGACCTGAAGCTGGAAGTGGGTGTGGATTTAGCTGGAAGTGAGACATATGACATTAAACATGGTGGTGTGGGTCATGTTGATTGTAGTCTCAGCCTTAGGCATACACAGAGAGTCTGATCTATTGATTGCTAAGCTAGTTATTGGGATTTTGTCTTTAGCAATCTGATAGATAGTTTGGCTGCTACAGTAATTATTGTAAGCTCTTTAAAGAGTGCAGCGGTAAGCCTGTCAACCCAGTTACAGAGATCCATGCACTGATCTACAGATACAAATCATGATAATTCCACATATTTCAGCAATTGCTACGGACCTTAGTCAATAACTGAACCCTCTGCAATATCGTAGCTTTCACTGAGTAAGAATGGTGAGTAGCTCTGTATAGGCTGCTGTGCACTGTAGTGGGTAGCACCGTCCTCCAACCTGTGGTTCATCTGGCCTCAGCGTGACATCACGGAGGATTCGGCCTGCCGGCTGCCCCTGTGTTCCAGCCAGTTGCCGTGGCTACAGAGCAGACACCCCCATGAGGAAGACAGGCCAGACTCCCTTGCCATAATAACTGCTGGCTATTTATAGACAAGTCTATGTACTCCCAAATTAAGAGCAAGACACAGTCTAGCCACAATAGAGTATCTTTTTCTCAGTTGTCAGACAATTGCATAGCATATCTAAGGTAACACAGTAGTGACACGCACGTTGGGAGGCAGCGCATAACTTATGGAAACTATTTGACATTTTACCCCAGTTTCTCCAAGTGTTAGTCATAGCTAACTTCCATTGTTTTAGGTTTGTGGCATATTACACCATAGCATGCCAGTCTAGGGACGAAAACTAGTATATGCTTTCTCATGAGACATGCAAAACCAGCTACAGCATCATTTTGTACTGGCCATGCAGTACTGAATAATTACATTGTACATGTCCAGTTTAAGCAGATTGCCAGTATGCAGTATACTTATGGGGTCCAAAAAAGTGTAATAGTAGAGCTCCACTCATCAATCAAGAAGCGCTGTAGTCCTGTGTAAGTCAGAGACACCACCCTTCATTTGTTTAATTTCTAGTCAAAATAATCATTAAGTATAAGTTAAGACATTAACAGGTTTGAGATATATTTCTGAGTAGATATATGACAATTCACTTGCATAAGGGAGGGTGATAAAGAGAAAATAGCCCTCCTAACAGCCGTGCCATGCAAGACCTGGCAGACCACTAAAACTGTCACCGTCAGATGAACAGTTTTTATTTTTTAGATATAAGAGAAAGTCAAGTTCCACTTTTGCTTCAGATCTGAAAAAAGTCCACAGGTATTTCTGTCTACATTTCTACTGTGAGAACTCAACACTATGGGTCTGATAGGATGTATAGCTGTCAAGAAGCCATTACTGAGAAAGGCAAATTGACAGAAAAGAAGAAAGAAACTGCCAGTTCTCAGAGCAATGTACTATCTACCCCCGAGCCCAGACCTCAACATCAGTGAATGTGTTTGGCGATTAACTTTAATTAAGGCAAAAAGTGGACACAATAAATACTGAAAAAATGTGGCATAATGTTTAGTTGTTGAAGTTTCTGTGTAATGTTATTTGTAACAAATTTTCTACTAATGTGAGTTGTTCCTTTAAGAAACTGTGCTTGCATCGACCCATTTTCACACTAGTAACCATACATATATATAACCTTCCCCACCCCCCTCTGTCTCTCTCTCACAAATACGCACGCACAAACACGGAAAAGCACACAGCGACAATAGTTTTCGCCCACCTTTTGACAGTGAAGTCATTTGCAGGGGATTTCCTCAGCTCTGGGCCTCACTGCTTTCTTTGCATTTTGCATGCAGTGCTTGTTTGCATACACAGAAATGGTTGACAGTCTTACTCTGAACTGTCACTTAGATTCACACTTTGGTGTCCTATTGCCATTTAAGTCTTTACTGGCATGTTGTTAATTGTGTGAATCTGACTGTTTAGTCATTTTGGAATAATTTTGTCTCATATTGATTGTTGTATGGTGCCACATGTCCACCTTCCCACTACATGGCAGATTGATTTCTGCTGACTTGCTCTTAGATTACTTAGATTTATTAGGGAAGCACAGATTATGATTTTTTTATGAACCATCTCTATCGTAGTTTTTTCATTTTTTTCCTGGCTGATTTTAGTTTAGATTGTATAAGCTAATTGAACATACAAAAACATACTGTTTCCTGTACTCTCTCTTAGCCAAAACCACAACGTAAGTATCAATATTCGCTTGTCAACAGGCCAAACGGGCATTTTAAATTAGTAAATGTAAAATCAAGTACCTACATGAATCAAATAATGAGCTACATCGAAAGTAAGAGGTGACGGGCTATTTAGCGCAATGAGTCATGCATAATTATGCTACAGCACTTTGGTATGGTTGTATCAGCGTCATTGAACACAGTGATCATGCACCTACCTAACTTGTGTTATATCATACAGTTGCAACACAGACCAGCTTAAATCAAAATAATTAATTGGCCGTTTGTAGACCATGTGTTTGGTGCAAAAATATCGGCCTATTCCGGTCGTGGCCGATTCCGGTGCATCCCTACTGTTAATACTAGTAAGAGTACCACTCTGGTGCTCTCATGTTCAAACCTATCAGTTTTCATAACTGGGTTCTGATTGGTTACTGTGTTGCTACTAACTTTAACTGACTCATCATGGTGTAGTCTGATCCAGTCAGTGTGGTTCTCTTGCATTAAGGTCAGCTTCTATATGAATGGCACGCAGACTCTTTGGATGGGGTGGTTCCAGACAGGTAAGCGTTTGGGCTGCCACAGTGTAGTAAGTAGACCACTTTCACTGATGCTGTGATGAGAAAAGTCCAGCTTTGACGTTCCTCTGAACTCTGTGGTTTGTATGTGTGTGCCCCCTATAGGTGAAGCTGTTGATGTACATCACTAAGCAGCTGCAGTGTAAGCAGAGAGTTCCAGTTTGTGAGCGCTCACTGGCCCTCGACTCGTACCCACACCTCGTAGACTGGCTGCACACCATCAACCTCAGGCCTGAGCTCATACAGGTACTGAAAAAAAAAGAAAAATTCTAATTGACCATTGACTCAAAGTAGGGGTGTGCCACCCATGCACAACATTTAAAAGCCTTTAAAACACATCATTAAAATGCATATTAATGGGTGTGTCTATCAGGCTGTTTCTTACTGTTAGAGTATTACAGTAAGAGCATTATCATTTATGCAAACTGGTGACTAATCATTACCATACATTTGTGAACGAGGTACATTTTTCACCTGTTTTTAAATTTGTGCATAATTAATACCTACAGTGTAAAAAAAGTCATTCAGATTGGTTTGATGTGAAATGTTCTAGACATTTTAAGTCAGAATTGTTCACAGCAGTGGTGATAGGAACCGGATGTCCAAATAGTTTAATGCCTCTAAAAGCTACGTTGCAGAAAGTTATGATGTTACTAATAAATGGTTATGAATGGTTATGAACACATTGTATTAAGATAGTTTTGAGGTAAGATTTTACCCTAAGGTTATTATTTTTTTTTTTCTTTTTTAAATCCATTGATGGCAGTGAGGTACATGCTGGGCATTGTAAGGCAAAATAGCACTCAAAGAGAACTTATTTTCACAGATTTACCATTATTTTTTCATTGACGACATTACATATAAAAACTCAGAAGACACGCCTAGGTTCACTGGCCATTCTGAATAGTAAATAAAATGACATTGTGAGCCCTGGTTCCTATCACCACCACTGTCTGTAAGTTTCTCTACAATGCACATAAAACCACTCTGAATAACTGCTTACATTTCAACAATTGAATTGTGCAGAATGTTTTTAAAAACTGTGAACTTCCTGTTTAATTACTATTTATTTTGATTGAGTAACTGTGACAGTCCTCATAATGTATTATGAAAATGTCTTCATATAGTAAACTTTTTATTATTTTTTGCAATTTTGCCCACCACTCCAAATGAGCTTTTAACCAATTCCAAGCAAGAAGCAAAGTGTTGTGTGTATTCACACACATCTGTGTGTTTCGGACTCTAGCGAGAAATGTCTCATGGTGAAGCTATGTGTGTGAAGAAGGTAGGAAGAGACAGAGAGGAAAAGAGAGAACAGGAGAGAGCAATGTAGAGGTCAGTTCCTGTATAGCTGTGTATGAAGATCATTGTGGCATTCCAGCCTGCTGTGGTCTCTCTCGGTCTCTCACACACAGACACACACACACACACACACACGCACATGCGTGCGATCCGACTCCTAATCCCAGAATGTGCCGACTCAGCCTCTCTGTCCCACTCACTCTACTCACTCTATTTTTACACCCCCTCCCTCTGTCGTTCGCTCAACTGGTCAACTGGCCAGAGCAGGATTCCACTCAGACTGAGGAACATCCAGCCTTGTTTACCTTTGTTTAGAGGAAAAGAGAAGCCTTTAAAGACAAAACAAACAGAATAGAAGCAAAGTATGGAGAAGACAGAGTAAGTGGCAGAGGGTAGAGGAAATGAGTGAAAGAGCAAACTGCAGCATGACATTTCACCCGAAGGAGGTAGTTGAAGACTGCCAGGCATGTCATTAGCTCTGCATGTGCTGCGTTTCAGACACTGAGGTAGGACAGCCCACATGTGTCTCTGTGTGTATTAGTGGTAGAAATCTCTAGGCACTTCATGATTCGATTTGATTTCGATTCAAGGTGCCCAAGAAATGATTCTCTAAAATTATTTCTATGACATACAGTTGTATGCAAAAGATTGAATACCTCCATGTTTTGTTGTAAGTTAGCACTTCCTCTACAGGTAACAGACAGGTAACTTTTGACAGTTTTATGTTTGATTTGTATTTTTTCAATATGTTAAATTCAGCAAATAAACAGTAACTGTTCATTAAAATGTGCTGAGGTTTGTTCCCTGTAGAAGATGTAACTTGTTTTCACTTAGAAAATCAACAATACATATCATTTGACCAGAGGCACCCAAACTTTTGCATTTTTTGAAATACTTTGATCTGAAAGTTGACCTCAAACTAGTGCATTTGTGGCTGTTTAAAAAAGCAAATCAAAAAGGACGCCAGCAACTTGCATGCTAATAGTGCGACTTGCTGGAGGAACCTCAGACTTCCACACATGCTCGTGTAAATGACTGAGTTTCATAGCAGTGTCCAAAGTGCACTTCATATTTTGGAAAAATGTATCATTATAGCAGAGTTTCTCTGTAATTCAGCTTATGAGGCATGTTTGCTTGGTTTTGCTATGGTGAGTTTCATTTTACAGCAGGGTAGGGCTGTTTTTAAATTGAGATCGCATTTTTAAATTGAATTTTGAGTGCGGTTCTCAAATCACAAGAGCTGCAATTCCAGCTGTAGCCTATATTATTTGCCCTGTTGTCTTAAGTTTTAACCCCTTAATGCCTATTTATGCAATTTTATCTACTCAAACTACTATTTTGAACAAGAAAATGCATGAATAGGAATTTAGGTCACATATCAGTCACACTTTTTGTTACTCTCACTGAAACAAAACAATAATGAGTACATACTGAGCTTTTTAATGAGCTTCTACACTTAACAGGCAAGCAGACATGGTGTATCCAACAATAAGAAAGAAATGCATCTCCTGTACAGTTTTAGAAAACATGAGAGCACACAGAAAGCTTCGAATCTACACTTGATATTGAGAAAATAATTGTTCTGTTGCAAATGTGGACATGCATAGGGACAGAACTCCTCATTTAACCTAAATGACCTTGTGAACCTTGTGAACTGCCTGTAAATGAGTTAGATCAAAAAAGCAAAAAGCAATCAGTCATCTATGTGCTGTGTGTGCGACAACACAACCTGAACTAACAGGCGGTAACTTGTAAAAATGTGTAAAAATATTCTGGTCTTCATGGCTAAAATAACAGCCCTAGGGAATTTTCTCTAAATCATTCATCCCTACATTAGGGGGAATGCAGTGCCTACAAAAATCTGATTGACATTTTGTGAATCAGTTTAAAATCTTTCAAGAGACGATAATGATGCATCTAAGAATTCATTGTTTTTCCCACCCTCAGTGTGTATATCCTTCAGTCTTCCTTTAAGACTGTATGTCGTCTCCAAACACTTGTTTAGCTGCGCATGTTGTCCTGACTCTCTGTTAAAGTGGTGTCAGCTTGTCGCTGTCCTTTTTTTAAGCTCAACAAAGGCTATTCATTTTCTGTGGGTTCTATGCAGCATGATTCATGGGGCAGGAATGCATGCGTGCAACTGGGGGCCGTAGACGGGGCCCAACATGGTGCCACTCTCTGAGGCCTGCTGTCTGTCCCTGGCCCCTGTGCTGGCAGCCTCAGGAGGACCAGCCTGGCTCAGTGCAGTCTGTGAGAGCCTAAAGCCTGTTGCGCTGATGTTTTCACAGGAAGCGCAGAGGAATGTCCCGCGGGGCAGACAAGATCAGGCTGGCCCTCTGAAGAGGAATTTGCATGATTGGCCAGTTTAGGAAAATGTGCTATATGTGAGTGTGTAACCTCACTGTGTGGCTGTGTGGTTCCCCAACTCGATTCCACCAGGAATCACCTGTCTCGGCTTCAGGTGTACGGTTGTTGTTTTTTTTTGTTTTTTGTTTTTTTGCCAGTGCTCTGGTTTGAATAATTATTATTTCTAGGGATGCACACACCGTGATTTTTTTTTTTTGGGTCTGACTTCTTATTCTCATTGTTTACACCCTGATGGACAATTTTTTTTAGCGTAATCTGAACCTTAGACTGTGCAAGCTAACTGAACACGTTTAACACACTAGCACATTTCCTGCACTTTCTGTTAGACAGACTTACAATATAAAAACAATATAAAAACAATACTTACTATAAAACTCAAACCGACATTTTTAATATGTTTTTTATAAATCCAGTTATAAAGTGCTTATCGAAAGTAAGAGGTGCCTGGCTGTTTAGCACAATGAGCCATGCATAATTATGCAGCCACATTTTTGTATAGGTGTAGCAGCTGCATTCAAATGCAGTGCAAGTGCATTTAAATGGAACCCTTTTATATACATCATAAAATTGCAACACAGACCAACCAAAAAAAAATTAAGCAATCGGCCAATTCCGATCTTGACCAATTCCTACTAATTAGTGCTGGCTGACACATACGGTGCTGTGAATAAGTCTCAGGCACATGAGAAAATGCTACATAAATCTTTTTATCCCTACAGTTAGCGTTTATTTTGTTAAACAAACAGTAACACTAGAATAAATACAAATAAACAATACATTGTGATTGTGTTTGTTAGATTAATCATTTCCAAATCTGTCTATAAGGAAGCTCAGTATTTAGTTAGCATCTAGTATCTAGTTTGGCTAAGCAAACCTTCATTAAATTAAATTAAATAAGCTGCTAGTGGAATTGAACAATTCCATGCAATGACTGGATGTCAGGAACCAAACCTCTGTTCTTGTAGCTGTATTCTTCTAACCAAGATATTAATAACTGTCTTTCAGGTTTTAATGTATGTATGCTTATTTTTAATGTTTAATAGTGCACTACTGACAAAAAACACACATACTACTGAGGTAAATAGTTGAAACAAATTTCTTGGCTGGCTAAGACTTTTCCACCGCATACCGGTACTGGTGTTACACAACACTATTCACTTTTAATTAGTTTTAATAGCACTGATAGATATTTGCTGGTAGTTTTGATAGTTGATGAAATTGCAGTTCAAAATACACTGGCACACTGAAACTAAAATCTTCTTTTCTGGAAATCTGCTTTCTCTCTGATTAGCATTTACAATTGTAAGGTTCCGTTTGATGTAATATTAAGAGAACAAAACAGTCCAATCAGAACAAACCATGCAAGTTAGTAAGGCATTCTTTTAGCATCGAATACCCAATGACTTTGCTAACAATAAATTAATCAACATAAATCATCTGATACCATGATACTGTTTATATAAAATATCCTAATATTGAAATTTAACAGTACTAAAATACCCAATACTAAAATATCATGCTTATCTGCTTACAGTGGACGGCAGGATGAAATTTGCACCCCTTTTATACCAATTAAA